TAAGACCTTTGGAGTGACGCTTCTACAAGAGTCACAGTGTTGGATGCTCGACGCAAAGAGAAAAGCTCTTTACAGTTTTTAATCATTCTGACCATAAACAGCTTTTCCAGGTTTGATATTCTTTGACATACAAGTCAGGTGATGCAAATTAATTAAGAGGTTCCTACGTCACATTGAGCCATTTACTCTAACCAGTGACAGCATGACTATGATCCCACATCTCTGACAGACGTCACTGAATTTAAAAAGTGGCAGATAGATATGCATGCAGTATGATTTATGTATCCTAGATGATTGTTTTTCATCTTGTCATGAGAGACTCAGGCCTACAACCCAAGTTAACTGCAGTCAAAGGTAACCAGTATTTACCCTCTCAAAGCAGCAGTGGGGTGAAAAAGAGCAACGAAAAGCCGGCAGCCTGCACAGATGTGCTTCCAGCTCTACTCATGTTCATAAACACCTAACAGGGAACCGGCACTGCAGCCCAAACCGACACGATACAACCGCACATGCAGCCACAAAGTGAACCAACTCATGTAGTTACAGACAACAGAGACCAAATGCACCCAGAGTGTAAACTAACCAGCCTGCACCGAACTGACATTTCCTCCTAAGTTAAATGGATGGAAGTTACATAAAAACATAAAAACACTCGTTTCAGGAGTTCGCTGACACTGAGTGTTGAGCAGATATCAACAATCGTCAGACTACCGGAGACAAAGCACTGAATTATTGTTATCCTAATTATTTCACCCGACTGGTTTCAGCTCCGATATTCTGCTTTTTCCTTTTGGTAGATCGAAGACAATCGTGATGTTTCTGCTTCCATTTTGATTCCACGAAGAAGAGCGCTTCAAAGAAGTGGCGTTCATGGTCCACAGCGTGACAATCGTGGTCACACACGTGCTTTTTAAAGCAACATGTTTCTTCACTTCAAAAACTCTGACACATGTCTTGTTGTTTGGATATGTGTGATAGTGCATGTTAGGGTTTGTTACTGAAACTTGTTGTATTTTGATGACTCGCTCACAGCAAAGATACTGTTTAAAAAGTTCTGTTTTCAGAGCCTTTCTTTAAAATCCTGTAGTTTTACATGAATGTTTCATTTCTGATCTTGTAATGCACACTACACTGTGCACGTCTACATTAGAGACGTCTTACCTATTTGTGAGACTGAGCTGCTTGACTATTATTTAGAAGTGTATGTAAAAAGCATGATATCGTTGTTAATGTGATGGACTGAACTCAGGAGGTATCTGCTTTTGACCAAAGATCAATCTGATCTCATTTCTACCTGAATCTGCTGTTTCAAGGTTTACCTGAAGTTTGCTCAACTTTGTTTATTCCAGCTCTCATAGTGCAGCCATGAGACAGACTATTAAACTCAATGCACGATGTAAAGTTCATAATTCTCTGACAAATAAAACTGTAACAGCAAACATGAACAGCTGTGCTTATTTCTGAGATATGAATGAATATATATGATGTGTATATGAAAATATGAAAGAGCAGAGATTCCAAAATAAATCAGGAAATATCTTCAAATTTACTGAGAGTATGTCTCACACGTCATGTTCTTGGTAATTCAGAAGCTGGCTCCACCTGAACCCATTAAATATGTGATAAAGTCACTGAGTCAATGATTTCTAACGTTTGTTTTCTTAGTTGCAGTTAGAGTGTGGCTGGTAAAGAAGAAAAAGCAAAATGAATGTAACCTGTGAGTTTGGTGAACTTTGTGTTTTTCGTCATCATTTCTTACTAACAATCATCCTCCTGATAGTCATTAATAATCAGGAGACAGCAAACCAGTCATGGTCGTGGATTGTTACAGTCTCATTGTCATCATGATAATCATCATGATCAATACTTGACAAGGGGAGGTCCTGAGGTGGGCGGGGCTAAGCCATGAATGGCAGGAACAGCGCCTGGCACGTGTTGGTGAAGCCTCCCAGTACACTGGTGTAGTTTCCTGTCCAGCTGTTTGAACAAGAAGAAACAGTGTTGGGTCTAAAATCACTGGCAGGAAGTGATCAGTAGTTGTAGATGGCGTGTGTAGTGACTGCGTTACAGTTACTGTAGTTCGGTAAGGATACTTACCAAAGCAGAGCCGACAGGCCAACAAGGATGCTGAATGTTTCAGGAACTCGCTCTGTGGTGCTCACTGAAGGCTGCTTTTACGACTGCCTCAGTCTTTTATTGAAGTCGGCTGGTTGGACAGCGACAGCCTGCCCATCTGAGGAAGAGCTTGAAAACACTCACGGCGATCATTATTTTGTGTTACGGTCAGAGTTGGATGGTAAATGTTGTCCTTTTAAATGTTTTGTATTTAAAAGTACGATAATTTAAGGCTAAATAGTGATCCACGTACCTTTACCTGGATGTTTTCTTTGAAGCTGGGTGATGACTCCTCTCTCCAGTTCCAGCTCTGCAGACCAGTTGGCCTCGCAGATCACAGCCAATATCTGCAGCAGGAGAGAAAGTTAAATTAGTTTCTCATGCCTTTTTTCTCCACGTTTGGAAAAACACTAAAATAACCAAGCAAAAATAATATTAAAGATTTACACCCTTCATTAGCCAAACAATAAAAACATCTCTTTACTCATTTTCTCCATTCCTGCTCACATCAGGTGTCAGAAATCACAGCAAATTGCAGTGAATGTGAAGCACATGCTTTATACGACATGCGCCTCTATAAAAAACATTAAAGAGTTTCTACAACTCACAACTATTTCTGCTTTACTGTGGATAGTTTATCTGCTGCCTCGGATCAGAATCAGCAGCAAGTCGAGGTGGTGACATCGTGCCCTTTGTGACTCTGGAAACACCACCATTTCTCCAAACTGCACCACCTGTGAGCACCAGAGATGGGCAGTAATGCATTACTTACTTTTTCAAGTTACGACTAAAGCAAGGGATTACTATTGCAAAAAGGTCATTAGATTACAGTTACTTTCCCGTAAGCACGCTGCGTTACTAAACCGTGATTTTGTTTGTGAGAGTGTCTCATGAAACACCCGCATCCCCCACTGACATGACTGCTGTGGGATATTTTATTTTATATGCTGGAATATGCAGGAAACAGGTTTAAATGTTAAAGAGTTTCTTCATGTCAGACTCTGTTGTACATAATTAAATTTTTGCTTAATGCAACGAGCTTAATCTTAAAAGATTAAAACTAATAAAACAAGTTTTAAAAGAGACTTTTTATTTGATTCAATTTCATATGATGATTATGCAGAAAAACAGAATTGGCTGAAAGGTCTGTTGCTTTATTACGTAGGTTGTGTATCATGTTTTTAAAAGTAACTGAATAATAAAGTAACTAATTACTTTTGAAAATAAGTAATCTGCAAAGTAACAGGATTACTTTTTGGAGAAGTAATTGGTAATTAGTAACTAATTACTTATTTAATTGACCAACACTGTTCACTAACAGTTGGAGTAGTGAGCTACATTCATACATTCACACTGACTTTAGGAAGAATTTAAGAATTTATTTGCAACCGTGTGTCATTACGGTTACTGAGTCACGGGTGACAGAGTGGATTACAGACAGGTGAAGAACCAGGTGTTGCTGGCTGTACAGAATGACCAGAAAACCATAGTGGACCTGAGCACAGAGACCAGAGTGTGGGAACGAATGAAGAGCAGATAAAGACTGAAATCAGACGGTTTCAGGCCTGAAGAGCAGAGCTGAGGATGGAAAGAGATGCAGACTGAGGTGGAGCAATGAGAGGGAGGCTACAGACAGATAAACTTTACCTTTTGTACTTTTATAATAATCTTTTCTATTTTGTTGTAGCCACCTATCGTTAGTTTGAAAATGCAGACGATAACTGGGTCAATCTTTCACAGTGAGCGAAATTTAGAAAATGTTTTTTTTATTGCAGCATGAATAACACCAGACTTTATCCAAAGCTCATTTTGAACTTTTCCACAATGCTATTCTTTTACAATAACCCCATTATTTAGATGTGCCAGGTATTCTATCATAATCTGTGATGAAAATATCCAAATTAATTTGTAAAAAATTTTTTATTTATTTATTTATTTTACCGCTGGCTCCCGAAATTTCCCCCAGGGGAGATTTCCCACTGGAGCAGTGATGACACTCTCGCTCAGCCTTTGACCGCGATTGAAGTTGATGGTCATGTGGTGCGCCTTTAGGCCGAGGCTCCCCAGCCTCAGTCAGGTGGTGGGGGCGTGGTCCCTGGCTCAGCTGCAGGGGAGGGTTAAATTTAAATTCATGTTACGCATTTCCACTTTACTTCAGTCCATTTTAAATGAGCATTGGCCCAAAAAAGGCGGAGCATTGCTGGGTAATGGATCGTGTTCACATAAGTCTTCTTCTCTGCAGGCTCAAACCTGCGGTTGCCGTGCAGTGATTTAGTGAGAACTGTTTTTAATGAGTGTGGTCTGACTGTCACAGGCAGTGAATACTGATATTCAGCCTTTTTCCATCTGAACATTTCTCCAGATTCTCTCATCTTTTGGTGACATTATGTTTTCTACATGTTGAGATGTTCAGAATCTTTGCAGTTCTTCACAGAGGAACATAGTTTTAGATTTTTGTTTGTAGGTTGGTGAGTGTCTGTTTTCTTCTCTGTAAGATGCTCTTTTATACCACACTGCTGACCTGTTCCCATAGGAAACTTTTCCCAAACTGTTCCTGTTTCTTTTTCCAGCCTTTTGTTATCCCTGTCACAACTTTTTCTAGGCTGTCACTAAATGAGCTAATATATTTCATGGAGTAGTAAAATATCTGAATTTAAACAATTGATATGTTTTCTATCTTCTATTGTGAATAAAATATGGATTAATTAATTAACACATTGACTTGACCTGGGATTGTAAGCTCCGGGGATATGCATCAGCTTTTTGCTGCTTTGCATAAAAGACAGAAGGAAGAATTTTAATTATCAAATTAAATTGAATTGTTAATAAGTGTCACCTATGCTGTCTCCTCATCGTGGTCCCTTATGGTCCTCTTCTCTCTCCAGAACAGGCCGGCAGCAGTACACGAGCCAACCCACAATGGCCAGCCCCAACCCTGCATGAACCCTGCCCTGATGAACTCTCCCTGGGTGAGAAACTCTTTTTTGTTTTTTCACCCATCCAAATTGCGTACACTGTGCTGGCAGTGAGAACGCCATCACTTCATTCTCTGCACTCTTTTGACACAGTGTTTACAGTGATGATGCTGGATGTGGTCATTTGTTTCAAATTATCACAAATGGACAAGTTTCTACTCTTTATGGGACTTGCCTTATTGAGATGCTTTCTAACAGTCACACACATTCATACAGTGAAAGCATCGGAGAGCAGCCATTAGTGATGGGTCAATGGCGTGTACAGCATATTGCGCTTATTGTGTCAACACGATGCTAACACTGTGTTGGTGTGTTGCTAAGTAGTGACATCTGCTGGATTTACAAAAACATTGCAGGCACCCTGAGTGTGGAGAGAGAGTGAAGAAGGTTCATTCTGACATCTGGACACCAAATGAGTGAGGAAAGGTCTCGCTGGCATGACCAGCTGATGATAAAAGGTTAACTAAACAAAAGAGTCAAATGGCTACTCAGTGAAGCCAGCCAGTGTTTCTCCAAGACCACAGTGCTGCATATGACAATCAACACAGGACTACACAAAGTGCACGTGTGCAAAAACTGCAAATAAAGAAGAACAGAACGATACAGACACAACAGTGCAATAAGAAACTCGATGTATGAAGGCGCGCCTGCGTGTGTGACGTGCAGATAAGTGCTTGAAAGCGTGTACGTATTAACCAAACTCTGCCATTGATTAATACAGTATGTAAAATGCAGAATTTACAAACATATTTCTGAAAAGAAGTATGAGTGAAAAACATCAAAGTGAAAGTTTTATTTAGGAAATATAAGTGAATGTCACAATTGTTGTGCTTCTGTGAGGGGAGAAAACGTTTCTTTGGTTCTCTTGTACAGCCGGTGATGATGTTTCCTCGCAGCATGAATGCAAACTCAACAACTGCACTTCCCAATAAGCACAATTAACACTGTACAACAGAGCAGTTGTGTTGATCACACGATTTTTCCTACAGCAATACACAGACCTGATAACCCCATTGGTGCTTCAGTATTGTTTGGCTCACAGCAGCTGGGGATTGAACCATCAACCTTCCGATCAGTGAATGAGCTGCTTAAGCTCCTGAGCTACATGTCTGTGAAGGTTCTCAGTCATCCAGGTCATCGTAGTCAAAGGAGCTTGCAAAGAAAAGCGTCTGGACTTCTTTAAGTTGCTTGAAGACGTTTCGTTGTGAAA